CAGCTCAACTCATATCATTTGTGGGAAAATTCTACTTCTACCAGTACTTCATCACCTTAAACGAAATTGGGCGAATATTTCTGACCAGCAATAGAAGAATGCCTCTTTAGTTGCCGAGAGTTGGACGGTGCTGGTAAAAAACTAATTCGTTTTCACCATCCACAGGCATCTGATTAACTTCCTTTTGGGCAATTGAGAAATATATTAATAAAAAAGTTCAATCGTACACTACAATTGAGGAATTGTCTAATTGGTCTATTGGGGCATATAAAGAGAAGCTTGGTTTTGAAGAACCCCTTAGCAGATTGCTATTAGCATACTTTTCATTTCATTTGAGAATACGGGTGGAAACAATTCGTAGATTGGCTTCACCGAATACGAAATGATGGTTGCTTTGGACTTTTGTCTGTTAAATTGTGCGAAGTAGACCCCGGCTCACCGTCCTACGACCCCGATGACTCCGTCATGTGACTGGCGTCATCACAGCCAGAAACTATTATTCACAAACAATCACCAAAAGACACTAAACCGAGAAAAGAGAGGTTTTCGTGAATGTTCATGAATAATGCTTTCTGGCTCTGACGATGTCCGTCACATGACGAATGAAAGTTCAACAAAGATGGCTCGGAGTCACAGGACAGTGAGCCGAGTTATTTTAGCATAATTCCATAGTCACATGTCCAAGGAAATCCTCCTACAATATCTGGTGAGACCAAGCTCTGTATCCCTTTCTATCCGGTATGTCAGTATCATTTTATTGTGACATGACTTCCACTTCGAAGCAACAGTCTGTTGGTCGATTTGCGAAGTGGTCTCACCAGAAATCGAGGGACGATTGTCGCTAAATGAGAACTGCTGGATGGTGAGATGAAGTCTTCAGTACACGCTATTGTACCACTGAAGCCGGTGATTTCTCCGGCAATCGTACTTCGAATTCCGGCAAGACAATTTTACGAATTCCTTCTAACCAACTTTACTTTCTATATGAAATATTATGTTGCAGTCACTAAAAAAATTCGTCAAAATTCAGTTTTAACTCTTGCCTAATAACTTCTATTCATTATGCTTATCATGATTTAAGTGTAAATAGAATAAAATGCAAATAAGTTTAGTAAAAATAACTTGTATATAGACAGAATGAATGCGGTTCGAAGAGGCTGCTCTTGTATCATTTATAAACTGACTAATAATTCTAATGACAATTTTCTAGCACAATAATGATCAAATATTATCTAGGCAGATGCAGGTGGAGACAAACTGATAAAAGAGGTGAATAAGAAGAATAAATGGGACTCTATGCCTACTGATTGTTGTGATGACTTTCGTTTTTGAGAAAATGTGTCATAAAAAATAATTATCTATCATCCAAGCTGATATATGATGCATGTAGAAAGGTTAGTTGGGTTTGGGATAGCTTACTTTAGCAGCATTTTTGAATTGACTTTCATCTTACACGACAGTGTGTCAGCTCATCAGTGAACCAAATAGGTCAGATAATTTAGATAGGTTCAACATTATTAATAATTTGTATAGAAAGATTGCCTGGGCATGCACTAATCTTATTCGATTGCTTTGGGCTCATTTGAATTTCAAGTGAAAGTAGGCGATGAAGAGATTTACAGCTCTATCCCACCGGAAGCAGAGAGCAGATGATTCTTAACAAAATTTCAGTTGACTTTATGCAACCGTTCAGATTGACGATGTACCGTAAAAATTCTGCTTTGATTACTGTGAAAACGAGCTAAAATTTCTGATACTCGGTACCACGTCCTTTTATCGCATTTTTCTACTCAACATGTGTAAACTAAGACACTTCTCAAAACCCGCTTCTTCTTCTTTATATAGAAGGCACCAGGCTGAATTTCAGTTTGCCTATCATTTCAACAATGAATGAGTTCGATTGAGACTAATCATTGCTAGTGAGAGCTTTTCCGAACTGACTTTTCACTTGCGTGATACTGTATCAAAACACCGCAATGCTCACGAATGATCAAGGCTGACTTAGAATGTATGGGGAGGTGTAATTGTGTGTAAGTGGAAAACTCAAAATATTTTGCTCCCACTCAATTCTCTCTCCATGAAAGTGTCTTTTCTCAACAATAGTCTCAAATGCTCAAGACTGATTAAAACCTATGCAGGAGGATTTAGCCTGATTTGGGTTTGCAGAGAAGGAATTATCGTGTCTCATTCAACTTCCATGCAATATAATTGTTCAGCTGATTTACATGAGTTAGGAAATTTCGTCAACTCAACCATGCGCCAGAATGTTTCAAGCTGAGGTTGGATGATTCTAGCTTTGCATACGAAGAGCAGATTAGATTGCTTAACTCCTTCATTATATCAAAATTGAACTGAATTTCATTTTGCAGCTTAATTAAAGCTGACTCAGGCTGATGCTGGATGGTTCATTTTGAAGAGTGTAAAAAGATGAATAATCCTTGTTAGTGTGTCTCTACAGTGTACAATTGTTGGGATCACTTTTAAATTCTGTAAAAGTGTCGGTTCAACAATGCTTAAACATCACTCTGGCTGAGCTGGTATGATAGAGGACGAAGATAGGGGGAATAACTGTGTTTATATGAATCACGCCCCTATGACATTATTGCGATGATTCACATTATTTACTGAAAGTTTATCAAATAAACAGTGATCAAGCCGATCTAGGATTATGATAGGAAGAGTAAATTAGAATTACTGACTCATCTGTTGAACTGAATTTTAGTTATCACAGAGGATCTACAACATTCGATGAAGCTTCAGCATGATTGAAGTTGAGTGAGGCAATTGATGCAGGATGATTCATTATGACACAAAACATGTAAAAAACATAAATGTTTATGTCAATCTTGGTGGCAAAAATGTATGCTCAGCAATGATTTTTGCTGATCCAGTGTGATACTGGATGTAGGGGGCATATGTGAATCCTCGTTTTACACAAGTATTGCGACGAGAAACACATGTTAGTGGAAGTTTATCATATCACCAATGATTAAGTGGGAAGCAGTCTTGTGCAAGTTGATCTAGAATGTGTAAAGGAAGAGTAATTAAGGATCAATTAAGGTCCAATTTTAGCATGGAAGTGCATCAGTTCATCAGTGATCCTTGTTGATGTATGCAAATTCAGCATGATCTTCGGAGCGCAGTTGAAACTGACGATTATTCGTCTTGAGCGTTGCTGAATGGGCTTTTAGAATGTGTGAAATGATGCCATATCATCAGCGGGTCAGGGAGATCCAGACTGAACATGGACCTTCTGATCCAAGAGGTATGTATAAACAATAATTGTTGCTCTGTTGAAAGTTGTCAGATCAAAAATGATCTAAGATATGCATACGAAAAATGAGTGGGTTTTGACATAATCACTGTCATGCATTGGTCATAAAACTGCCATTTCCCATGAAAGTGTGTCCATCCAACAATGCTTCAAGTTGAGCCAAGCTGGTGAAAGTGTAGCGGTATTCTCGTAAACACCCACGGTTTGGCGGAACATTATTTTATAGGAAGTTGTTTACTGAATAAATCTCACAAAGAAGTATATTCATGCTCTACCTTATTTTTATGTTAAATCGACCTTGAGATGGACATCATTCTTAAGATATTATTTTTTAGTTCCCGGGACTCTTGCTATGATTTTGCTTCTCCCTTATGACGGATATCCTTAGAGCTCAACTTAATTCTTGTCAAGTCAACTGTTTAAGACGGTTTTTCTGACAAGTTACCTGAAGGGATTTGGTATGTATCCCGAGGAAAGATTGCTCAGAGGCTGGTGTGATAACCAATTTTAATGGAAACTCCTCGGCACATCTCCCTTGGCATTCAATTTTATCAAAATCTGAACTAAGATTTCGTCTGTCATGCTACAGTATGCCTAGACAGAGCAAAATCAATTCATTATTTGTACTTTAATGAAAACCTTAATTTCCTATGAGTGGGTTTAGGGAATACTACTTATTCCTGACTGAGAGATTAAGAACATCTTTATCCCATCAATCTTCTACCAACCCCTCCCGGAGGTGGGTTAATTCATTTCTTCTCCTGCCTGCAGATAATGGAGTCAATCAACATGCTCCAGGTTCTACTGAAACCAATATCGCATTCTTTCCAACTGAATTTCATCAAGAAGTACTTCTCTTGCGCAAGCTTGAGTGCTAGTCTCTCTGCTTTCTGCACCTGTTCTCCTTTCATCCATTTCACAATAGCTCGGGGCAGGCTATTCGGCAAATTTCACAATACTTTTCTACCAAACAGGCTCGGACCAAGCTGGATGGATTTCGCAATTGATCATTGTGTATGTGTATATATATATATATATTTGTGTGTATGTACATGTGTATGTTAATATGTGTACTTATTAGTATATATATATATATATATTGTGTGTGTGTGTTTGTGTGTGTATCTTCGAGAGTAGTCTTCTCAACGGAGCTTGAAGAGGAATAGGGCTAATGGTAAAAAGTTAGTCTATTCTAGAAGCCTATTGCCATCTTCGTTCGGATTGGTATGATGAGGGTGGGATTCATCAGCTGGCAACACCGGTCGGGAGATGCGTTTGTCCATTGTGCAATGGTACAATCGGCCGGTTTTGGATGAGCGTTCAGAACTGGGCGACGCAAGCACTGAAGTCCACTACCAACTGGGGCCGCAGGTCTGCTGGCGTCGACGCTGGACGTTGACATTACAATCTCCCGTTGGATCATCGGAAAGCATACAGTCCGGTTTCGGGTATTCCATTGGCAAGCGATTTCCTCCAACCGGCTGAACACAACGTCTTTCTGCAACCATGTCAGTCTGTCGGACAAGATAAAGACTCTGGACAGACCGTAGAGAAAGATCTGCACAGCCGCGGTGCTTTAAGAGACCTGTCTTGGGCCAGTTGGTGGGATTCGAGCTTTGAGCCGTGCCTTGTCACCTTCCAAAATGAAGATGTGTGTCAAGCAGATTGGTGCCGAGCTGGTTAGATTGTTTTTTTCGAGCCATTTTGGCCCAACGAGAGAGTAGATGAGGATGTTAACTTTACCGCTTGTCGTTGGGGCATCATTCACACACATCCGGTCCTGCCGTCAATTCTGGACGCATTCAGGAGGCCCAAAAGAATCCGTTTCACAGTTGTCGCAAGACAGCGCCTGGGAAAAGGTCATGTATGTTCTTATTTTCTCTGGTCTAGTAGAGAGGCCTACCATTTGGTGATGCCAAAAGAAACTGGATTTAGATGAATCTCTGAGATGACATCATCAGGAAGGCTTGCAATTATGAACAAAAACTGGGTTTTGAAGAATTCCTTAATGCAATATTGTGGCATGACCCTCCATTTCGAAGGGAAAGTTGGTTGGGAGCACTTCGCGTAATTGTCTCATCGGAAACCGAAGGAGGATTACCGCGCAGGGAAGACTGTTGAATTGTGCGAAGTATAATGCATATTTTACCCTCAATGGTAATGGTAAGTATTCGTAAGAAAGTAGGGTTTCGAGACTACCAGTAAATCATTGTAATGAGATGTATTCACCCTAT